CTGGCGCCTCAAGCACTGGGCGAGGCGACGGAGCTCCTGACTCCTGGCTGCACCTGGCCCAGCTCGAGCAGATGCCAGCCTGGAGAGTGAACCTGCTCTCTCTGCTCCTGCCTCTCCCTTTCTGTCACCTTGTCTTTTAGGTAAACAATGCACACACACACACAAAACCCTAAAACCAAGAAAATTCGATCCGTTTTTTTAAAAGCTCAGTGGGGTGCTTTTTGGTGTCTTCACCCTCAGCAAGTCCCAGCTCCCCACAGGCACGGGAGAATGGCCCCTCGGAGGGGCTCACAGGCCTGGGCCAAAGCAGGGCACACAGCAAGCTCCGGCTGCCTCATCTGTGTGATGGGCAAAGCAGGGCGTACGGCTGTGCGGGCTGCCTGGTCTTGCTACAGTCAAAACAGATGACATGTACAGAAGTGCCTAGGAAAGTGCAACAGGTGCAGGACCTGGCTCCCACACGGCTGCCCGTCAGCCCTGGGCACCCACTATATGCCAACAGGCGGCTCTGCTCCCAGAGGAGGAGGCAGGGGTGCCACCTGTTCTCTGCCACAAGGAGACCATGCCACTCCGCGCCAAGCTGAGGAACGGCACCTGCGCACAGCCCTTGTGATAACCAGAGCCCCTTGCCGGCACAGGCCATTTTTATTCCGAAACACTTTTATGCCTCAGCTCATTTTATATTTCATATGCCCTCTCCTGGCGTTTGGCAGATGGTAAAATGGATGTGCAAGGACACGGCGGGCTGGCGGGATTCCCCCTCCCCCACGGCAGCAGGCACCGTCGTCTTAAAGGAGCCTCGTACCTGGGAACCAAATTTGTGCAAGCTTGCAAGCTGTGGGACCTTCTGTGCTCAGCGGGGAGCAGTGAATGCCCATAAGGAGGAGGTGCCCACGAATGCACCTGCTGTGCGGGAGGCTGGGTGCAGAGCTCAGGAATCCAAACCAGCAGGCCCTGGCAGCTGGAGGCACGCCTCTGACCTCTCTCCTTTCTCTGCTGGCCTCCCAGCTGGCTGAGGGTGCCAGGGAAGGTTGGTAGGGGCTTTGGTTTAGCAATCAATGTCTAGGTTAGAGGGGCTGACCATGGCATAGCAGACCCTGAAATGTTGGCATCCCATTTCAGGGTTTGTGTCTCAGCTGCTCTGCTTCCCATCCAGCTTCCTGCTTGTGGTCTGGGAAAGAAGCAGAGGACAGCCCAAAGCCTTTGGGACCCTGCACCCACATGGGAGATCCAGAAGAAGCTCCTGGCTCCTGGCTTCAGAGCAGCCCAGGTCTCCCCAGAGTGGTCATTTGGGAAGGATACAAGCTCTTTCTCCTCTCTTTCTGTCCCCCTCTGTCTTTCTCTCTCTGTGTGTGTCTCTCCTTCTCTCTCTGGAAATCTTCCAAATAAAAAATAAATCTTAAAAAAAAAGTACAGATTAGAAATCCAATATTGGACTAACGCTGTGGCTTAGTGGTTAAAACCACAGTTTGCAAAGCCAGCATTCCGCACAGGCATCGGCTGGAGTCCTGGCGCTCCACTTCGGATCAGTCCCTGCTAACGGCCTGGGCAAGCACTGTAAGGCGACCCACGTCCTTGCAGAGATGCGGAGCAAGCTCCCGGCTCCCGGCTTCTGCAGGGCCAGGCCATCATGGCCAGTTAGAGAGCCATGGATGAAAGTGCTCTCTCTCTAACTGAAATCGTCAAACACTTACGTGAACCCACATCAAGTACCTGATCTTGAGGCCCAGCTCACCGCACCTCTAGTTTTCTGGTTAGGTGTCTCCCGGGGGACAGGACTAACTTGAGTAGCTGGGTCCCTGCCACCCACCTGCCAGTCTGCGACCCTGAGCCAGGCAGTGGGCAGTGTACACCAGGGGCCTCACTCGCGCGTCTGGCTCCGAGCAGAGACTCAGGGCGGCCTGCACCAGCCTTGGGCCTCGGCCTGGCTCAGCCCTGGCTGCTGTGGACATACAAACAGCAAAGCAGCAGATGGGAGCCTGTTGTCTCTCAAACAAGTAAATGATGCTTAGAAGAAAAAGTGAAGGCCTGGCGCAATAGCATAGCTGTTGAAGTCCTTGCCTTTCACATGTCGGGATCCCATATGGGCACCGGTTCTAATCCCAGCAGCCTTGTTTCCCATCCAGCTCCCTGCTTGTGGCCTGGGAGAGCAGTCGAGGACGGCCCAAAGCCTTGGGACCCTGCACCCGCGTGGGAGACCTGGAGGAGGAGCTCCTGGCTTCAGATTGGCTCAGCTCCAGCTGTTGCAACCACTTGGGGAGTGAACCACAACACAGAAGCTCCTCTCTGTATATCTGCCTTTCCATACAAAAATAAATAAATAAATAAAATAAATCTTTGAAAAAGGAAAAAAGAAGGAAAAGCAAAAACTCAGCTCCTGGGCTCCAGCTGCTGCCGGGTCTCCTGGCACTCGGACTCAAATCCAGGGTTCCATTGGAACAAAGTCCTCTGCTCCTGGCACTGCCCGCAGGCCGGGGTGGAGCTCCCACCCTCTGCGGCCTGCCCAGCACGTCTTCTGGGGACACCCATCATGAGCCCCCCAAGGTGCTGCCGTGGGCTGGGGAAAAGGGACATCAAGCTAGCCCGACCCTGCCAGGCGGCTCCACTGCTGAGGGACAGCACCCTGCCCATCCACAGCTCCCTGCTCAGAGGACAGACAGCCCAGCCAGGGGGCCCCCAGACCCCAAAGTTAGGGCTGGGTGGCTCAGAAGAGCAGTCAGGAGGGGGCCCTTGGAGAGCTGCCAGCCAGCCAGCCTGGACTCAGAGCGCCTTCTGTGCCCCAAGTCTGCCCTCACGCCAGGCATGGGCTGGGGCTGGACAGGCAGCCTCATGGACCCGCGGAGCTCCTAGCCCGGCAGGGGCCCCATGCTGGGTGGGCAGCAAGCTGGCGCTGGCACCTGCCGGCCAGGGCACGACCTTTTCCAGCTCCACCGGACAGCCAAACCTCGCTTCTCTGGGCTTCCCTCTGATGGCCTTGGCCAGGGTGACCCGGATGAGGCCCCCCGCCTGCCGCGGGGGTCCTGCTCACAAGCCGCGGCCCCGCAGAGTCCAGGCCCGCAGGTGCCCCCCACCAGCACCTCCTGGCGGACACAGCGCTCCCCCGCGGCTGCAAACAGGGCCAGGTGCTGGGCCCCATGACGATGATGACGATGGGGGGTCCCAGCGGTTCCAGCTGCCACCCCTTCTCGCCTACCGCGCCCATCCACTTTGGAGGGGTCACCGGCCATCCCTCTCCCAGGGACCCAAGCGTCGAGGTGCCAAGGCTGCGGGCCTGGGTCCGCCCGCGCAAGGCCGGGCTAAGGGTTCTCCACACGCCCGCTCCAGGGAGAGCCAGGCGTCCCTGGCGCGCCCACGTGCTCTGGCCTGGGGAGGGACTCCCGGCGCCTGGCGCGATGGGGGGACTGGGGCGGGGAGGGGACCCCAAGGCCGAATGAGCAGCTGCGCCCCTAGCGAGAGGGACAGCAAGGCGCCCCCGGCCCCAAGTCGGGCCTCACCCGTGAAAAGCTAAGGACCGCATCGTGCGGGCCGCGGGGTCCCTCTGGCGCCCGGAAGCAGCGACCAAAGGCCGCGGGGCGCGCAAGGCCCCGCAAAGCGGCGCCCCCCAGGAGGGCAGTGCGGAGGGGGAGGAAGCTGACGCTTGGCACGCGGGTGGCGGGAGTGCCAGGGGAGATGGTTGGGGTGGCGGCCGCGGGGGGAGGACGGGGCTGGCCCTCCCCTGGTGCGGTGGCCGGCCGGTTCCGCAGCCCGGAGCTGCCAGGTGGTCCCCCCGGAGCTGCCAGGTGATCCCCCGGGGTAGGGAGGGGTCCCCTTGGCCTCCCTCCTGCCCATGGCAGCCTGCAGTTAAAGGCAACGTGCGGGCGTTGGTCATCGAGGCCACCGTTCCACACGGGCCCCGGGGAGCGCCCTGCCGCCTGGAGCCTGACTTTGCGATCTCAGCGCCCAGCGGGGACCAGATTGACAAGGTGCCTAAGGCTCGGACCGCGATGCCCTGGGGCGGCCGCTTTTGCCCGGGTCTCCGGCTGGGCGCCAGGCTCCGACTGGCATCCAGGGTGTTCCAGCCAGGCGGCGCCGCTGTCCAGGAAAAAGGCACGAGTGTGTGGGTGTGCGTGAGCAACGCGCCGGCGCGCGGGGCTCGGCAGGGCCGACACTTCCCGCCCGCCTCTTGGACCCCGCGCCCCCGGCCCGGGAAGTGGGACGAGAAACCCAGGAGGCGCGCGCGAACGCGGACACCCACGGTCATGCCCCGAGAGCACCCGCGCCTCCGCGATGGAGAGCGCCGGCCGCCGCGCCTTCGCCGGAGCCCCTCCGGGACAGCCACGGGCTCCCCGCCTCCGCGCGGCCCGAAGGCAGAGTCTGCCAGGAACCGGGCCCGCCCCGCCGGCTCCGTGGCTGGATCCGCGAGGGCTGGGCAGGCTCCGAGGAGCCCCGCGCCCCTCCCGCTCGGCGCGGGAATGTGGTCCCCAGGCGGGTCCACGGAGCCCAGGGGACCGTTACGCTCCGGGAAGGCGGGAGCCAGGTCCCCACGCGGGCAACCGAGAAACGTGGAGCGGTCCCGGCTCGGGTACGGACGGTGTGAGTCCTTGGGGCCCCGAGCCATGAGGGCTCCAGTTGCAGCCCAGCCGCGGAGCCCGAGTCCTGGGCTCCTGTCAGACCTGGGGGTAGACTCGCTCCCCAGCCCGGGCTCCCGGGGCCTCGGCTGCAGCGGGGCGCGCCGGGGGCGCGGGGAGTGGGCGCAGGCAGCCCCCGCCGCGGTCCCGCGCGACCCCGGCCACGCCGGCCTGGGGGGCCCGCGCCGCAGACAATTAAAGCGGGATTCCTCCCCCGCTGACGTCGGCCGCGCCGAGGCCCCTCCCGCGGCGGCATAAAAGGCGCGGGCTCCGCAGCGCAGGCGGCAGTCGGGGTCGGGCGGCGCGCCGGAGCAGAGTGCGGGAGCGCCGGAGGGAGCGACCGACCGAGCCGCAGCCGAGAGCCCCAGCCGAGCCGGCCCGGGCGCCGCAGCCATGCCGGCCGGCCGTGCCGCGTGCACCTGTGCCCTGCTCGCCCTCTGCCTCCTGGGCGGCGCGGCCCAAGACTTCGGACCGACCCGCTTCATCTGCACCTCGGTGCCCGTGGACGCCGACATGTGCGCCGCGTCCGTGGCCGCCGGCGGCTCCGAAGAGCTCCGGAGCAGCGTCCTGCAGCTCCGCGAGACCGTGCTGCGGCAGAAGGAGACCATCGTGAGCCAGAAGGAGACCATCCGCGAGCTGACCACCAAGCTGGGCCGCTGCGAGAGCCAGAGCACGCTGGACGCGGGCGCAGGCGAGGCCAAGGCGGCGGGCGGCCGCAAGCAGCCCGGCTCCGGCAAGAACACCATGGGCGACCTGTCCCGGACGCCGGCCGCCGAGACGCTCAGCCAACTCGGGCAAACTTTACAGTCGCTCAAAACCCGCCTGGAGAACCTCGAGGTCCGCGCCCCGCCCCGCCCCTGCCGCCCTGCCTGGCCACCCCCTGGTCCGCGCCCCCCCCCCCCGGTCCATGCCATCCCCATCCCGACCCCCCGGGCGCCCCCACCCCTGTCTCGCCTCGCCTAGCTTGGCCAGCGGCGCGCGCTCGCAGCCTGCCGGGCCCCGCGGGCGAACCCCGGCTCCAGCGCGCGAGCTCCGCGCCGGGCACTCCGCGACTCGGGCCTCGGGCACTGCCGGGCTGTCCGCCTAACCGTGTGGTTTCTCCGCCCCTGCGCCCCGTAGCAGTACAGCCGCCTCAATTCCTCCAGCCAGGCCAACAGCCTCCGGGATCTGCTGCAAAGCCAGATGGAGGACCTGGAGCGCCAAGTGCTGTCGCGGGTGAACGCCCTGGAGGAGGGCAAGGGGGCGCCGAAGAACGAGACCGAGGAACGAGTTAAGATCGAGAGCGCCCTGACCTCCCTGCACCAGCGCATCAGCGAGCTGGAAAAAGGTAGGAACCCGAGGCCGGGCTCTGGGCTGCGCGGTGGCCCCGGGCAGCCTGCACCCCCACCCTGCCCGGAGCACCCAGGCCCGGCTGCTTCATTTCTAGTAACTTTGCGCACCAGCAGTGGCCACCCCGCCGCCCCGCTCAGGGGCAGCCTCGGATCCAGCGGGTCTCGGTTGGTAGCAGGAAGTCGGACCCCGCTGGACCTGGCCCCACGGGGGCCGAGGGGGCTTCCTCTGGGCGCCGCTGGTGGCCCCTCGCGATCTCCTCCCCAGCCAAGGAGGGGACTGCCTCTTTGGCTCCACGGTTCTCTCTCTGGAGCGACCCCAGCCCAGCCCGTCCCCCGACCCCCTAGGCCGCCCAGCTCCAGCGCTTAGCCCAGAGGCTGGGGAGGAGCCGAAGGCGCAGAAATCAAACAAGGTTGTAAAAGGGGGGGGGGGGGCTGCTCCCGGCTGGGAGCAGAGCCACGTGACCCTGCCCGGGCCGCAAAATGTGCCGGATTTAAGCAGTGCCATCTTAAGGCGCGTTATGTAACTGAAAACAGGAGAGAGACCCAGGAGGGAGGGGGAGAGGGAAGAAGGATGCGGGAGGTGAAGCCCCTCAGAGATGGGGGGCTGCTTCCCACCCCAGGCCCAGGTCGCTGAGGGCAGTGGAGAGCTGCTGCACCTTGGCGCGGCCCCTGGCTTACAGGAGGGGGTGTCACTGGGCTGAGGCCTTCGCGGACCACAGGTGCGCACCCAGGTCCTACCCAGGTGATGTGCTTCTGGGCTGGGGGCCTGGAGCAGGTGGCCACACTGCTTGGCGTGGGTCAGCCCGTGCAGGAGTGTGCAGGTGGACTGGGGGCGGGGAGAGGTTCCTTGTCTGTGGGACAGCAGCTGCAGGCTAGGGACTGGGAGCCAGAATGTTCAGGAAGCATAGCTCGCCCAAGAATGTCCGTCTCCTTTTCGGAGCTGTCACCTGGGCCCCCTCCCACCCCCTTGGCTCGGGGCTGGTTCTTCTCCAGTCCCTGCCCGGGCAACGGGGTTCATGGTGAGAGCTGGAGGTGGGGGAAAGGGGATTTGGGGAGCAGGTAAGTGATGGGGTACAGGCTGTCCTGGGAGGGGATCTAAGAGAACGCCCAGGCCGAGTATGGCATGGGCCGTCAAGAGCCAGGCACATGCGAGAACCAGGGCGGCTCCCAACGGGACTGCTCACCGAGGAGCTGGCCTCCTTTGCCAAGCCCTACCTTCTGCACTGGGAGGCTGGCAGTGCGTATGCCAGGAGGCCGTGCCCACTTGCCAATGCTCAGCACTCAGCCACAGCCCCCAAGCGCTGCGCCAGGACCGTGTGGGCGCAGAGCCAGCCATGGGGTGCAGAGACCTTGGCTCGGCTCTTTTGCCCCCTGGCTCTGTGCCCTGGGGCAAAGCGCCTGACCTCTGGGCAGTGCCCTGGGAGCCTGACTGGGTGCATGGCAGGGCTGGGTGAAGCTGGGAGGTCTACAGACCACCCCCGAAGCCTGGGCTGGGTGCATGACAGGGCTCTGCGGGATCGCCTGTCCAGATGCCTGTGTCAGGGCCGCGTCCTGTCCTCCGCAGGCCAGAAGGACAATCGGCCCGGGGACAAGTTCCAGCTGACGTTCCCACTGCGGACCAACTACATGTACGCCAAGGTGAAGCAGAGCCTGCCGGAGATGTACGCCTTCACCGTGTGCATGTGGCTCAAGTCCAGCGCCGCCCCAGGCGTGGGCACGCCCTTCTCCTACGCCGTGCCCGGCCAGGCCAACGAGCTTGTCCTCATCGAGTGGGGCAACAACCCCATGGAGATCCTCATCAACGACAAGGTGAGGCCGGACGGGCAGCGGCGTGTGCTCCCCCTGGGCCCTGGGCCTTCCTGGACTCGGGGTGGTGGAGAAAGAACCCCACACACACCCAGCGGGGGCCATTGCAGCCACCAGCTGGCTTGGCCATGTCCGGAACCTCTGGTGTTCTAGCGGTGCTGAAGGTGGCGCCTGGTCCAGGTCTGTCCCATCCAGCTCCCCCGCTGGGGAGACGGCGGGTCCCGTGAGCCCCTGGGCCCCCTGCAGCCGCTCTGTGCGCCGTGGATTAACTGCCAGCTTTCAGATCCCAGGGCGGCTACTGAGTGGCTAAACCTCGGGCTGGGAATTAGGATCCAAACCCTGTGCGACAAAGAGGGTGTGTCCTATTTCCCCAGGCAAGGAGGAAGGGGGCTCCTTGGGTCTCCTGGGAAGGTAGACTGAAAGAAGTGAAGGTGTATGCGGACGGGTGGGAGGCAGCTTTGCCAGGCACCTGCCGGCTCCGGGCAGCATCTCAGAGACCCTGCACAGGCCTGGAGCAGGCTGCCAGAGTGGCCGCTGGGCATGGCCCCAAGGCTGGCAGGAGCCCCTCTTCTGTGTAACCCCAAGGTTCATCCTCGTGGGGCCGACAGGGTCTGGAGGGGCAGGTGCAGGGGGCGTTGGGTGGCCGCTGTGAGAGGCAGGGTGGCCGCTGTGAGAGGCAGGGTGGCCGTGGCACGGGAAAAGGCAAAGCTGGCGCTGTCCCCCCAGGTGGCGAAGCTGCCCTTCGTGGTCAATGACGGCAAGTGGCACCACATCTGCATCACGTGGACAACGCGGGACGGGGTGTGGGAGGCCTACCAGGATGGCACCCAGGGCGGCAGCGGCGAGAACCTGGCACCCTACCACCCCATCAAGCCGCAGGGCGTGCTGGTGCTGGGCCAGGAGCAGGTGCGGCCGGCGGCGGGAGGATGGGAGTGGGCTTCGCTGGACAGTATCCGGCCGCCAGTCTGGGTGCGCCGCTCAGGAGGCGGGAGCGGGCTCTGGTTCCAGCTCTCCCTGATACAGCCACACTCGCTCTGGCCTGGGGAAGTCAAGGCTGCTTTTTAGGATAATAAATAATTCAGTCCCTGTGAAGTGGTTTGTGTCCCACTGGGCACCTGGGAGGGGCAGGGAACCCAGGCCTCCTCTGTCTGCTGGGCAGAGTGGCATCTGGACGGGAGCCCGGGTGGGACTGCCTGGCCCTTCACTGACAGGCCGGGGAGCCCCAGGGGACCCCCAGGAGGAGCTCTGAGACCAGGGCAGCCTGGAGCCCTGGGGAGTGGAAGGTTAGAGGTGGGGAGCCCCTGCCGAGGGGGACACAGGCCTGTGCCTCGGGCTAAGGGATGGTGCCCCACGAGGCCCCTGCCCCTCCCGGCCCCAGCGCCTGCTTTTTCTCTACAGGACACTCTGGGTGGCGGGTTTGATGCCACCCAGGCGTTTGTGGGCGAGCTGGCCCACTTCAACATCTGGGACCGCAAGCTGACCCCGGGCGAGGTGTACAACCTGGCCACTTGCAGCACCAAAGCCGTGTCGGGCAACGTGATCGCCTGGGCCGAGTCCCACATCGACATATACGGCGGAGCCACGAAGTGGACATTCGAGGCCTGTCGCCAGATCAACTGACAGCCCCGGCCACACGCCTGCGTCCCCTGCTTGTGCAGTGATACCCGCCGTGTCCCCCGTCCCCCAGGAATGAAGCAAGGCCACGGCCCCTGCCCACACATACCACCACACAGACACGCAGCCTGGTCATGTCCGCACCCACGCACGTGGACCAGTCCTGCCTCAACCGTCTCCCGAGGAAGCCCCCCGTAGGAGCCCCAGCCGCTCCCCCTCGGAGCAGGTGGCAGCGGCGGCACCTTGAACAGGGCCTGTGTGAGTGTGTTGACGCGTGAGGCTGTGTCCCTGTGTGTGCGTGTCCCTCTGAGTGTGTGGCTGGGAAGGACTTCTGGAATCTTCTTTCCTCTCTGGGTCCGGGCAGTCTTGTGACGGCTGAGGCCCCAGTCCCCAAGAGCTCCAGGCTGTCTGTGCCGTGGGCCGGCTCGGCCTCTCGCACACCTCTGTGGGTCTGGCGGGGTGGCATGCCCTGGGACCCGTGGAGTGGACGTCCTCTTGGGCCATGTGGGGGGCTGAGGGCCCTCACTGCCAAGTCGGATTTGGATTTAGAAGTGGATTTGCTCAGACTGCCCTGGGACCGGGCTGTCCCTGGGGAAGGGGCTGCTGAGGTGAGCCAGGCCCCGGGAAGCGTGGGTCCCCCAGGCTGGGCTGCACGCCTGGTGCACCCGCCTTGTCCCAGGCCCATGCCCCGCTCCTCCACGCCAAGACCTGGGCCTGGCCTGTCAACCAGAGCTGTCTCCCTCCCAGCATGTCTGGCCCCTGCGAGGGAGAGTACCCCAAAACCCACCCGTTCCCTCCCAGGTCTCAGGTCCCAGAGAGGCCCCCTGCTGTCGTGGCCTATGACACCGAGACCCGAGCAGTTTCCGGAACCTTCTGCATGCACCCTGCCAAAGCCTCCTGAGCACCTCCAGCCAGCCCTGTGCGGAGGGAGGGGTGCGTGTGCGTGTGTGTGCGTGTGTGGCGTGAGAGGAAGCCAGCACATTCACATTGGCCCTGCCAAGGATGAGCCCGCACCCTGAGGGCCCCGGACTCCGTGTCCAGGCTGTCCTTGGCCAGAGGCGGATGAGCCTCTAGTTCTGCACCGACTGCTGGGGCAGGAGCAGGCGCCTTGGTCTTCGATTCTCTCTGGGGATCCCCTTGCCCCTGTCTCCCCAAGCAAGGCCCTCGTCGTGTTGGAAGCTAGTGAACCTGTGTGTGTGTCTGTGCCTGTGTCCATGTCGCTGTCCCCGTGGGGGTCTGCACGGCCCCTGGCTGCCGCGGCCAGACAGCGCGCCGTCCCCCACCCCTGTGACTGCTGCTTCTGTAACTGGGCACCCAGCGGGTTGTGGCACCCTTGGGCCTGCAGGGGCCTCCCTGTCTGCATGTTCCTCGGTGGTGTGCCCCTCGCTCCCTCCGTTCCACGTGTGTCCCCTCGCCTGCATGGATTTCTCCGGTTCTGTGTTGTGTGCCGAGTGCCGCCCAGTGTTGTGTGACCATGTAGCTGCCGCAACGGCTAGGTGCGCGAGCCCAGGGTGGGCGTCAGGGAGGGCCCGGGTCCCACCCACACCACGCAGCATCCTTACCCAGTAGGCTGAGAGCAAGGCTGAGCAACGCTGCAGCTGGGAGCGAGCCAGAGAGCTTGGGAGGCCAGGGGAGCCCACCCCCACTTCAGCCATCTCGGAGCTGGCGCCAGCAGGCGCTCTCCTGCCAGCCCCCGCCCCCGCCCACCTCCTGCCCAGGGTGGGCCGGGTGGGAGCCGTCTGTTCAGGACCACAAGCCATCCTCTGCCCTAACCAGAGGGACAGAGCACCCTGCCCCACCCCCACGCTGATGTCTGTCCCCAGGCCCACGGCACCAGGGACCAGCTGACAGGTGGCTGGCCAGCCCGGCCCCGCGCTGGGGGCGACCAAGCCCTCGGCTCCTCACTGTGTAACACCTGGCGCCTGGCTGGCCACGGTCTCATTGGCGTGGTCCCCATTTCCTCTGAATCTGACCGTTGTCCCCTCTCGCACTGAATACTACACGCCTCTCAGGTAAGCCATTTTGTAAACCACGAGGCTGGGGAGCGCTCACTGGGGCCCCGGCTGCTCCCGGTGTCCGAGGGGCGCGGGGCTCAGCCCCGCTGGGGCCGTGAGCCTTCTCGCTTTTGATAACGCAGTTATTTCTCTTACTGTAGAAGAAAAAAAAAGTTTATTACCAAACAAGAGTATTTTTATGAAAGCAAAGGATGAACCCCTAAATCAGCCCCTCCATCCCTGGAACACCCTTTCCTGGCTTCACCGAAACGTAGGACCGAAAGCACGTATTTTGGATGAAAGAGATGCATTTTTGTACGCTTCTTTCTCTTTTTTTTGTAGACTCCCGGTTTCTTTTGTTAAAACTGCAAAGATCACTTTGTCACCAGCCCTGGGACCTGAGACCGAGGGCGTGTCTGTGGGCAGAGGGGAGGAGGGGGAGGCCGGGGTGGGGTCCACCGGGGAGTGGGGCTCCAAGGAGGGGCTGCCTGTTCTTGAAGGCGCATGGGGGGCCAGTCCTGCACATGCGTTCCAGCCGCGGTGGAGGTGAGGGTGGCGAGCTGTGAGGGTGGCTGTGCGTTGTGGGCGCTCGGAGGACAAGCCCTGGGCAGCCTGCAGCCGCCCCAGCCTGGCTCGGCCCAGGACGCTGCCTGCAAACACACCTGCTGAGGACGGGGCGCGGCTCTGTGCCGCTGCCCGGGACTGACCTACACAGAGCAAGTCGTTGAGGGACCACCCCATCCTTAGAGCCCCCCCTCGTAGCGTCTTATTTGCCAAAACTGCGCGTACCCCCGGCCGCTGCCGTCAGTCTCCAATGTACCTGACTCCGTCACCTACAACCAAAGCTGTGCATTTTTCATATGATCTGCAGCCTTTTGGTACCAAATGGGTCAAAACCATGGGACCTGCCGCCTCCCATCAGCAATTCTGGAAATGCACTATTTCTACTGGTATTCTCGCTTTTTTCTTTTTCTTGCTGAAATGACATGAATTGTTGAGTTTATTTTTACACAGTAAAGAGTGAAGAAAGACGTGGCCTCCTTGGAATGTCTCTTTCTTAAAATGTATTTTTGATGATGTTTACACAGTTGATCAAGGTGGGAAGGGTTAAGGATTAGGGGAGAGTGGGGAGATAAGGGTAGGAGCGTACCCAGCCTGCCAACCAGCTCAGTACCCGGGGACGGGGCACATGCACCCGGTCCCCGATGTGGGCATGCTCCGAGGGTTCTGCTCAAGTGGCTTTGATAGCTCTGAAATGCTGTCAAGCTCGCTAATCCAGTGACAAGGAAGTCCTTCCAGGGTCCCGTGGCTGACAGCCCACCTTAGAGTCTCCATTCGGCCAGATATTTGTTGCCGATGCTTGGCTGGGGCAGTTGAGCAATTTGTCTTGCTCTCCTTCCTCTGCTGTGGTACCAGATGTTCTCCTCAGGCCCCAGTGGACTGCCATACCCTCTGTGTCCACGTGGGCATGCCGTCCACTGCTCTGAGCCACTGACGAGGCCCGGTTCTGACGCACACGCTCCACAGTCCGTCCGCAGATCCTGCAATTCTCCCCGTGGTTGGCGGTCTGAGTCCAGCAGTTCAGTTGGGGGGATCCCCAAAGAAACCTCACCTGAGGTGATCCCAGACCTGACTCTCGTGTGTGCTAGCTGTACAGGGCCCAGCTCTGTCCGTCACCCACAGCAGCCTACACACACACCGGCAGTTCTGATCCCTGGGTCAGTTTTGTCTCCAGCCCTGTCTCTTACGTAAACCAACAGAAACTGGGGCCCAGTCCTGCTCACTATACACTACGCCCCCACGTACACCAGTGGGACCTACAGCCTGGTCAGCGTGACCCCCATAACCCCTGCCAGGCCCGCCCCCAGCCCTGGTTCCTGTACTTGCCATTATATGCAGCAGACTGGTGCAGTCTGTCCCACACCCATTCAGCTCTCACACACGTCAGTGGCTGATGAAGCCCAGCTCAACCCAATCGATCCCACTGTCCAGCCCACGCTCGTGCCAGTGGGTGCCACCGCCTGTCTAGCCAGGTCCGCCCCCAGTCCTGGATCTTGCACTCTCCGGTGGTTCTGCAGACCAGCTTGGCAGGACTTGCCCCAGTCCCAGCACTTGCCAGCTGATGCTGCCGCAGAGCCCAGCCAGCCTGCACTTAACTCTGACTCATGCTGCAGCAGTGGGTACAGCTGGTTAGTCCAACCAGGCTCTCCCCCTAACCCAGTTTACATGCAGACCAACGGGTGTTGTGGCTCTGCCTGGCCTGGTCTGCCCCCGGAACCCAGCTCTCACGCTCGCCAGTGGGAGCAGTGACCCAGCAAGAGAGGCCCCTACAAACCGCCCCCAGCTCACATTTCCTCCTCCCCACGTCTCATGTGTGCTGGTGGGTGCTGTGGCCCAATCTGGCATGGCCTGTCTCATGGTGGCAATTGCCTGGCCCAGCCCAGTCTACGCTCTGTTCCAGCTCATGCTAGGGGTGACACAAGCTAACCAGCCCAACCAGCCCCCAGTCCCGGCCCTAAGGTGAACTGGCTGGTGTTGTGGCCCAAACTGGCCTGTCCAGCACCCCGTCCTGGTTCTCAGTGGTGTTACGTGCTGGCCAGTCTGGCCTGCCCCGAGTCCTGACCCACGTGTGTGCTGGTGGGTACTGTCAGCTGGCTGGTCTGGGCAGCTCCCAGCCTTGCTTCCTGTACTCACCGGAAGGGAGTTGCCCACAGCTCCTCAGTCGGGGCTCCGTCTCCTTCCAGGGGCGATCCCACACACCAAGGCAGGTCCCACACACCAAGGCAGGTCCCACACACACACCAAGGCAGGTCCCACACACCAAGGCAGGTCCCACACACACACCAAGGCAGGTCCCACACACACCAAGGCAGGACCCACACACCAAGGCAGGTCCCACACACCAAGGCAGGTCCCACACACCAAGGCAGGTCCCACACACACACCAAGGCAGGTCCCACACACCAAGGCAGGTCCCACACACACCAAGGCAGGTCCCACACACCAAGGCAG